ATCAGCGAAGCCAGGGTGAAAGGTATCTATTAGATTTTATTTTTTATTTTTATTTTTTATTTTATTTTTTGTTATTTTTTTCCTCCTCCTATTTTCCTCATGATAACAATCCTATTAGGTAAGTTGGGAGAATTACAGGCCCAAGGTCACCCAGATGGCTTTTATGGCTAAGGCGGGACTTAAACTCACTGCCGTAACTGCTAGACCAAACTAGCTATAGATTAATTAATGACAGAGTTTAATTACCAATTGTGGTTATCACATTCATCAAATGGTTTGAACAATTTGTTTTCTTTTAACTTCTTTGACTGCTTTGTGCACCTCTGCTTAGTAAATGTTTTTGCTCCAGTACACTTAGTGGGATTTGCAACCGCAAACATGCAAGGATATGACTATTGATCAATTCTGTAAAATGTTGTTCTGCTGACTTTTTGTGTGTGTGTGTGTGGGGAGATTCTGAATTGGGAGTTTCTGGGGTAAATTACAGGATTATTTATTTCCTCAGCTCCTGCTAGCCAGGAAACTATTTTTGGTTGAAGAGGCAGAAGATGAGAACTTCTGAAAATTGAACTTGTGAAAATGGAAGAGTTTAATGTATCTCTTCTTCTTCCTTTATTATCCTACTGCAGATGCAAAAACACAGAAGAATAATTACATAGAATCAATACACTGAGATCAGGGAAAAGCAATTTTGGGCAAAATTCCTATGTCACAAATTCAGGTCCAATATTCTATTTATAGGTTTGTGCTGTCTCTTCAGATTTTACTTGTACATTTGCTGTAAGAAAGATACTCCCTGAAATTCATTTTTTGACCTATTAAAGAAGACTCGTCTACCAATTAGACCTGAGTCAGTTTGAGTAGATCCCCTGCAATTGGCCCAAGATGCAGCTGTCCCTGTATTTTCCTTGCCACCCCATTTACCTGCTTAGATTTATATTTCTTAGCATATCGTGGTGAGATGAAGCATTCCGGTTTCACGTCCATGCTTTCTACATCCGAAGCTTCTTGGATTGCAGCTGTTCTGCTTTTCATTTTCAGGAGCGAGAGGATGTTACGCACCTCGGATTGGTAAGAACTGTCTGCCATTGTTTTTCCTTTGGAAGCCAATGAACAAGCAGCCATCCATCTGGCATACTGCTCTTCCTGCAATGAACAGTCCATGGAGAGATATTAAAATATATATATCTGGCACCGATTTTTACTCACATTGTTTAGCTGCAATCATTTGAAATGCTTTGTTTAACTTCTCTAACATTGGTAACTTTAAGACTTGTAGACTTCAACTCCCAGAATTCTGTTGCCAAGGTTGGAGATCCCTGCCATAGACAACAACACTTCATCAGTCTAATTTGTTTATTCAACTTCTATCCTATCTCTTCTTCAGAAATTCTAAAGGGGAAGCTTTCAAGGACCCAGGTTCTGTTTTCAGCCGTGACGGCCTTCTGCCGCCCTCTGCACCCTCCCCCTCACCAAGCTCCGTTTTCAATGGCAGAGGGTGGTAGAAGGCTGTCATGGCTGAAAACAGAGCTTGGGAGAGACATACGCATTTTTGCTGGAAGAGGCACCGTGGGTTGGTCCTTTGCTGTTTCTAGGGCAGCCCCGCGGGCCAGATCTAAGCACCCCGCGGGCTGGATCCAGATCCTGGGCCTTTAGTTTGACATCTCTGATGTAGAAAGAGGGAACAAATAAAATGTATTATAACTGCTGCCCCGAAGATTAGAAGCTGTTCTTTATTATCTTTTTCTTTTCTTTATATCTCAAATGTATATGCCCCCCCATCTGACCTAGAGGCCACTCTAGGCAGCTTACAGCCAATAAAAAGCAACAAGATGGCACATTAAAACAACAAATATTACCACTAAAATTGTCTTACAAATTAACAAAGATGGCAAGGAAGGAAGACCTCCAGTATGACATTCCACCATCAGAGCTACAGGTCAATTGTCAGAGCCAGGTCTTCAGGGCCCTTGAGAAGGCCAAAAGTGTGGGCCTGGATCTCACTTCACCTTTTCTCACCAGAAGAGTGGGTTCAGATCTCATCTCACCTTTTAAATGTATTTTTCCACTATTTTTTACCATTTTCCTTTATTATCTTTATATTAGCTAAATAAAATATGTGTATAGAAAATATTGAATCCTTTTTTCTCTCTTCCTCGCTGACGTATCAGAACTCTTAGATCTCCTTTGTCCCTTAATTTCCCTCCGCCCCACCAGTCCATCTTGGGAGAGCCTGAGGAAATCCCAGGGCCACACAAAATATAGCCCAAACAAGGCAATGGCAAACCTACACTGTTGGCTGAGAAAGCTTTATTGCTCTGTTTGTGGAATTGCCAGATATTAATGACTTTAGGGAGGGAAGCTGAGTTTCACAAGAGTTCTTCAGCTAGGAAGGTCAGATGAGGCAAAGGACAAATACCGACAAATTTACAGAATAATTTGGCAAAGTAGCTCTTGACGCAGACTTTTAAACAGAAATCCCCTCTCATGAATGGAGGTGAGTTGGGGGATATACATGCAAGGCAACCTGGGGTTTGGTTCACTGCTTTTGTTAAAAAATACAAGCCTTGTTTTATTTCCATGCACAAATTGCTGGGAATATTTATTACTGTGTGGGTTTGCAATGCACTGAAATGCCAGCCAAGCACCTGGACCTTAATGAGGTTTCCAAAGAGGCAATGCAATGCACAAAAAGCACATTAATATCCCTCCTCTGTGCACACAATAGGTTCATTCAGTTGTTTTGTTACTCACATCATTACACCTCAAAAGTATTTCATTCATTCCATCGGCAACTGGGATGAGTAATTTAATCCCATATTTTTTCCCTGACACACTTACATCTGGGACAATTTCACATCCTGAACAACAAAACAGAATTTATATGTAAATTTACGCTTCATCTTCATTTAAAAACAATACACGAGAAAGACAGGGAGAACGAACAGCATATAAAAAAGGTAATAAGGACAATTTTAAAAAGGTAAATGATTAATTATTACTTACTACTAAGGCAGAGGTTCCCAATCCCCCCAGTCTAGTAGCGATCCACGCCCCGTTGAGAACTGGGGCACGCAAGGAGCACATGAAGCTCCATTTGTGCATGCGAACCCCCCCCTTCCCCCCGCCGCAGCTGCTTTATGGACACGGCAAGATTGGGAACCGCTCCAGTTATGAGGATAGATTTAACCTTGTATTTTTATTTTAGGGTTGCACTCAGCCTTAGCTGATACTGTTTACTTTCAAGGGAAACCATGATGTTTATTGATCATCATCTGATCAACAATACATCTTCTATGTTTACACACTATGTAAGTGTGTAAGAGCCGAGGTGGCACAGTGGTTAAATGCAGCACTGCAGGCTACTTCAGCTGACTGCAGTTCAGCAGTTTGGCTGTTCAAATCCCACCAGGCTCCAGGGTGGATCCGGCCTCCCACCT